CAAAACCCCAAATAAATATCCTAATGATGCATTTCCACAGTCTGGCTGGGCACAATTCAGGAGCCACTTATCAAGCAGAAATGAACTTTATTTTTAGAACACAGGATGCACCACACAAGTTCTTCAGGAATTCCCTCAGAGCCCAACTGCCACCACTGGCTTCCGGTGAGCCTCTCAACCCCCCCTCCTCCTGCTCTTGAGGTTGATTGGCTGGTTCATGTGGGTGGAGCCAAATGAGTCCCCCAATGAGCAGCTCCATGGTCTGAAAGGGTGGGGAAACAGCCCAATGAGCATCACCGCAGAGGAGCCAATCAGCTGGCAGCTAGAAGTTTGCTGGGGCCACTGTGAGCCAATCAGCTGGAAGTTTGCTGGGGCCCCTTCAGCTGTGGCTCTCAACAATGCATCTCAAGGTCTTGGGAAAACAAGAACACATCATTTCCAAAACCAGCAGAAGGAAATAAGTAATAAAGATCAGAAATTAATGAAATCGGGAATAAAAGAAGAATACAACAGATCAATGAAGGAAAATGTTGGTTTTCTGAAAAGATAAATAACTTGACAAACCCTTAGGCACATTAACCAAAAGAAAGAGTAAGAAGATCAAGAGTAATAAAAGTAGAGTCAAAAAAGGACATATTAAAACAGATACCACTGAAATCCAGGGCATCATTAGATATAATTTAGAAAATATATATTTTAATAAATTAAAAACTCTACAAGAGATGAACAAATTTCTAGAAACACAGGCCTACTCAAATGGAACCAAGAGGGCATAGAAATAAATAGGCCAATAACAATTAAAAAGATTAATGCAGGAAAAAAAACTTTGAATAAAGAAAGTCCAGGATCAGATGGACTCAGCTAAATTCTACTGGACCTTTAGAGAATAAAGAGTATCCATGCTCCTCAAAATTATTGCAGAAAATAGAACAGAGGCAAAATTTCCCAACTTATCATATGAACCCAGTAAAACACAAATACCAAAACCAGGTAAGTCCACTTCAAAGAAAGGAAACTCAAATATCCTTCAGGAACATAGATACAAATATTCTTAATAATATATGAATAAACCATATGCAACAAGAATTTAAATGATTGTTCATCATGATCAGGTGGATTTCATTCCAGGGATACAAGGATGGTTTCTTATATGGAAATCAATACTTAAATAGAATAATACACCACTTAAATAGAATAAAGAGAAAAAAACACATGATCCTCTCAATAGACTCAGTAAAAGCCTTCTACAAAATTTAATATCCATCGAATACAAAAAGCCTTAAACAACTAAAAATAGAAGGAACTTATCTTAAAGTCATAAATACGATATATGACAAACCCAAAGCCAACATCATGCTGAATAGGGAAGAACTGAAACATTTTCTCTAAAATCAGGATTATGACAAGGAGGCCGATGATTTCCACTCCAATTCAATATATTATTTTAAACTTCAGACAGACTAATGCAACAAGTGAAGGAAGTAAAATGGATACAAACAGAAGCCAAATTATCTGTGCTGAAGATGATATAATCTCATAACTTAGAAGATTTTCAAAGAAAATATGGTGCATACACAGTGGAGTTTTATTCAGGCATAAAGAAGAATGAAATTATGTCATCTTGCAAGAAAATGGATGGAACTTGAGAGAGTTAAGTAAAGGAGGTGAAACCCTTTAGTCAAGGATCATATTTGTTTTCTCATATGTGGAAGCTAGAGAGAGTGAAGATGAAGAAAATGTGGAAAGTAACTTTAGAAAAATAGAAGGGAAGACAGTACAGTAGAAAAAATAGATAAGGGGGATGGAGGAAAGAAGTGAAGGGGGAAATACTGGGAAATTAAGTTAACCAAATTATGATATGTGCAGGCATGCCTATGTAATAATGAATCCCACTATTATGTAAGATTACAATACACCAACAAAATAATTTTTGAAAATCCCAGTGGTGTTATTTTTCACAGAAACTTTTAAAATCCTAAAATTCATATGGAACCACAAAAGACCCATGATAACCAAAGCAATTCTGAGAATACAATCAAAATTGGAAGTGTCACTTCCATATTACTATTATATTACAAAGCTATAGTAATCAGAACAGAAGGATACAAAATGGTATGGTATGAATATTATGGTAAAATGACATAAGAACAGACACATAGGCCAGTACCACAGAATAGATAGTCCATGAATAAATCCAAACTTATATGACCAACTAATTTTCTACAAAGGCACCAGAAGACACAATGGACAAATCAAATGATAGTCTCCACAAAAAATGTCCTGGGAAAGCTGTATTTCTATAGTCATAATAATAAAATTATGCCTTTCTCTTGTACCATACAAAATGCTAACTCAAAATGAATCAGCAACCTAAACATAATACTTAAAATGCAAAATCCCTAGCAGAAAACAGGAGAAAGTCTTCTAGAAATTGTTCTTGGTGATGGTTTCTTGGACATCCCACCAAAAAAAAAAAAAAAAAACAAGATACAAAAGCAAAACTAAATAAATGGGACTGCATCCGATTAAAAACTTGCTGTTTAGCAAAGAAAACAATCAACAAATTGAAGACAACCCACATATTGTTACAAAATATTTACAAACAATATACCAGATAAGAGGCTAATATTCTAGATTCAGAGGGATCTCAAAAACTCAGTAGCAGAAAAATAAAAACAATACAAATTAAAATGGGAAAATGACCTGAGAAGATATTTTTCAAAATGTGACACATAAATAACAAACAGAAGAAAATGATGTGCTCAGCATCACTAATAATCAGGGAAAGGAAAATTAAAGCCACTATGAGACATCAGTGCACACGTGTTAGGAGAGCTATTAACAAGAAGATAAAAGATAATGTGTTGAATTTCCATTAATATAACAAACACCTGAGATAATCAACTTCTAAAGAGAAAAAGGTTATATTGGATTGCAGTTTTGGAGGTTTGACTCCATGATCAGTTGCCCTGTTGCTTTGGGCCTAGGGCACACTAGGGAGTATTGAAGGATATAGTAAAGCAATCCCATTCACCTCCTGACCAAGAAGCAAAAGACAGGGAAAGGAATGGCTTGGCTAGGGTCCCACTATGTCTTTCCAGAGAATATGCCCACTGACCTAAAGTCCTCCCACTAGACCCCACCTCTTCAAGTTTCTACCACCTCCCAATAGTGCCAACTCTGGGAACAAACTATTAATCTTTGGAAGACATTCAACATCCAAACTATAGCTGATACAATTGCTAGAGATAGTGTGGAAAAGAGGCAACCCTGGCACACTTAATGAGTGCACAGATTGGTACAGGCATTATGGAAAGCAGTATGGAGATTCCTGAAGAAATGAAAAATAAATAGATCTACCATTTGACCAAGCCATCCGTCTCTGGGTATATATATATCCAAAAGAAATTAAGTTACTACCTCATAAATATATCTGCATCCCCAATGTTCATTGCAGCATAGCTAAGAGCAACCTAGGTGTCGAAGAATGGAGGTGCACATGTACAACAGATTGTTATTCAACAGGAGCAAAGAGAAGATCCTGTCATTTGCCAAAACATGATGTACTTAGAGGAGAGTATGCTAAGTGAAGAAACGATATACAGGAAGAAAAATATTGCATGGTCTTATTTCCATGTGGAAGTTTTTTATTTCAACATTGTATTTATACATAGTATTTGGGTATATTTTCACATAATTATACATACAAGAAATTTGAATTCATTCCCCATTTACTCCTCTTTTTCTCCTCCTCCCTCCCTCTTTTTCTCTCCTCTATTCTACTAATCTTTTATGTGAAATACTTTTTAAAGAATCAATACATATACACAAAATTTACAATAGTGGTTACCAGGTTTGAAACAGTAGACAGAAAATGGGAAAAAGTAGATTAAAAAATTTAAAGTGATAAACATGTAGGATGAAACAACATTTCATTGTTTTTGAGAATAGTGATTATGTACAATATTTGGCTAAATGGACAGATTACAACAGTTCTAACAATAAGGGAAAATTAATAACTATGTGATATGATATATTTTGATTTTTTGACTATAAAATCATTTTACCTTATCTATATCTACCTAATAGCATGTTATAACCCTAAAATCAACGCACTAAAATTTATTTTCAAATTAAGAAAATAAAATAAGAAGCATCCTGAGCTCTGGGTCAAGGAGGATGGACCTGGAAGAAATAATGGGAACTTACAGAGGTATAAAAGGGTTTTGTGTCTTGATTTGTTTGGGGCTCATGTAGCTATATCCCTTTTTTATACTCATTGAACTGTATACTTTGATCTGTGCTCATTATTATCATTTAATTATACCTGAGTTAAAATAATTAAACACTATAGCCCTGAAAATGAAAATATTATTTTCACTGAAAGAGTTAAGTAGAAATACATGCCACAGTTAATAAATTACATGTTGTGAGCTTCTGGAAATAAGTCTAAAAGTCTAATTAGAAAGCCCTGCAGAGAGCCAGTATTAGAGTGAAGGCAAAGGGGAAGAAATGGAAAGATAAGGGTTGCTAATGGAGGACATGTGGAAAGAAATCACAGAGAGATAGTGTATGTCAAACCTTAAATATGCATGGATGTGGCTTTATCTGATCACAAAGCTGAACACCCAGCTTGCCAAAGTTGAAAATGATGGAAACAATACATAAATGTCCTGACTCAAAATTAATAAGTGGAGATTTAGCACAGGGTTGACTGAAAAATGAATCAGCTGTATTCATCCATGAAAACACTCATTTAGTAAACATTTATTAAGCTAAGTTAATATACACAGTCCTGCCAAAATGAAAGGAGAGAGAGATTACACAGGTAATTTATTTTAATCTTCTAATAATATAGAGACAAAGATTGTAAGGATTAGGGGGAAATGTCCAAAACATAGGATTCTTTTAGTCTTTATCAGGTGCATTGATGAAAGAAATTGGGATCCCTGCCCATTACTGTTTTCAGTCTTCTGGTGTTAAAAAAAAACGTTGTTCAAAAGTAGAAGCAGTCCTGGACCCCTGAGCTGATGAGTCTCACAAGCAAATGAGGTAAAGCACCTGAGTAAGGCAGGTAGAGAGACACAGTAATCAGTGTTTAACAGCCCTGTCACACTGGAGATATGGACAATTATTATCTCCTGATTTAAAACTAGGTAACCAACTGAACCAGGTTCTGAGCATCTCCTATACTGATGGGGCCAGGAAGGCTCTCAGAATCACATGTGTCTGATTAAAGCAGAGGCTCCTGTGAGTTGCCCCAGACTGTTGCTTACTCTCCAAGGTTTCCTGATGAAACCCTGCTTCCAGAGTCACCCTCATCAGGGGTGTCCTGCATGGCCCTCTGTAGAACCAGCTTGAGGGTTCTTCGCTTCCACCGCCGCTGCCTAAAGGAGCCAACAAAGAAGTAAATTATGGGGTTGGCGCAGCTGTTAACACAGGACAGAACAACTGTAACCCAATAGGATCCACAAGGAATAACATCATATCTCAGGATCCAGGATAAGAGGAACCAGTTTATCCCAAAGGGCAAGCCAAAGGAGAGGAAGACCAGCACCGTGAGCCCAATGGTCACATATAACCTGGTTAGTGGCACTCTCTGGGAGCCACAAAGGATTTTGACAATCAGGGTTAGGCTGGATCCTGAGAGGGTGACAAATAAAACCATCAGCCAGGCGGAAGTGATGAAATCTAATGTTTGACACCATTCATAGTCATACCACTTAATCAGGAAGCCACAGTTCTTCCCTTCAGGTATGCTCAGTGACAGCGACAGGACCCAAAGCAAGGCACACACGACAGCTGATGTGTGTCTCCAGCGGTGGCAGCGGTACCAGATGGGCCAAAGGACAGACATGCAGCGCTCAATGCTCATGGCACTGAGCATGCTTAGCCCTGCAAGATAGGCAAAGATTGACACAACCATGATGAATGTGGGAATGGCGATGGAGTTGGGATGGAAGAAGTTAATGATTTTCCACAGGAAGTCTATGATCTGGAAGCAGAGGAAGAGAAAGTCAGCTGCAGCCAGGTTGAGAATATAAATGGAGAAGGCATTCCTGCGGACACAGAAGCCCAGGATCCAGAGCACAACTGCGTTTCCTGCCACACCGATCAGGGCAATGATGAGGGACAGGAAAGCCAGGATAAGATTCTTCTTATAGCAGTATGGAAGAATATATTGAAAACTGACATTTATTGAGGTGGTTTCTGTCTCCCAGGTTGGCATGACTGTATCCATGCTCATGAATCCTCCGCTGGTGCTGCTGGGAATACAAAAAAGATATGAACAACTGCTGCAAGATCTCTGATTCTTAAGACTACCCTGCTATGTGGGAATATTGCCCCTGAGGCACAAGGAAGGGAAGGACAGGCCTGCAGAAGTTAAGTAATCCCTCACAGGCCAGGAAGTCCTGGGACCTAATTTCAAGCACAGTTGTTATTACTCTAAAGCCTGGGCCATCTGCAATTGCCTCTTTCTACTGACAGGGAATATTTGATGGCCCCAACACACCCACTCAACATCCTAGACTGTGTTGGACAGATACAGAATCCTGAGCCCAGCTTTCTTTCTATCCTGGAACAGAGGTTTTGTTTCAGGTTCAGAAAGTTGGAAGCCCCAAGCATGACCACACTCATTCTCACTGACCAGGAGGGTCCATACAGCAGGGAGAAAGGACATCATAATTAGGCTCTAGAAGAGAATATGAGCTATTGGTAGGACACTTGTGAAGACAGCTAGCTCTTAGGTTATAATGACTCAGTGCCTGTTTCAAAT